GCTCGAACGTTATATAACTAGACCGTTTCACCTTGAACGTCTCTTCATCTTCGGGCTTCAACTTCAGGCACACTTATCACAGGGTCTTCCATCTTTCTGCGTCGACTGATTAAATATTAAGCTACTACGGATTACTATCTACCCAACATCCATCATCCATCCGGCCACATCCACATCCACGTCCTTGAATCCACCACCAAACCATACAACTACGATAAACCCAGCCGGAGAAGCCACCGCATAAAGATGCATCAATCCACCCTGCCATTCCTCCCGTCCCCTCGTCAATCAACAAAAAAGTCAAAAAGGTATATTGCGAATCATTTTCCCCAAGAAGGATAAGAGCATCGCGTCGTAAAGAAACGTTAGAGTGAAGAAAGGAGCAACCAGCCGCTACCGTACTCAGCGGTCCAGTGCTACGAAGGTACAGTAGCATGTTGGTAGGCCAAGGTATGTCTACAAAGCGAGCATGGCAAGCATGACCGCAGCGCCAAGACCGGCGCCGACGGACATCTTGGAAGCTGCACCTTCGAAAGGAGGGGATTCTGGGGAGGGTGAGGCACTGCCGCTGGGGCTCAGTGAGACGGTGACGCTGCCGGTGGCGCTCATGGTAGGCATGGCAATGGTGCTGTTGCTTCCGGTGGGGTAGGGAGTGACCATGGCAGAGCTGGATGTCTCAACAACACTGCTGCTCTTGGCGACGTACGCGCTCGACGACGATGATGGGGTAGGTGTAGGCGTAGGTGTCGGTGTGACCATGGCCGGGTAGATCTCGGGCAGCAGGCTCTGGACGTCGGTGGGGAGCGCTTGGTACCAGGCTGGTGTGTTGCCAGCAGCGAGCGAGGAAGCCATCTCAGCGGCGAACGCAGACGACGAGGCGATCGCATAGGCGACTTGGTCGGAAGGGATCGCCTGCGCGAGCTCCATGAGGACGGACGACTGGACTTCGGGCCTACGTCACTAGCATGTTAGCATGGATCTACATTGTAGTCATGATAATTATCGCGGGTAAGCCGCGTGGAGTTCGCGTCGCGTTTGCGGGTGAGGCAGCAACCGCAAGATGAAAAGATGTGGAGAACGGTAGGTATAAACTTACGCAACACCCTGAGCGGTCACGCCCATAGCAAGCGCACCCAACGCCAACGTGATAGTGTTGTACTTCATCTTGATAGTCTTGTCTCGTGTTGAATGATCGTAATTACAGCGAGTGTGTTTAGGGCTTTCGTATGACGTGTTGGACAGCAACGGACCGACAGAACGTTGAGTTTAATAAGAGAGTGTGGAGAAAGTCTGCTTGATGATGACGACGCGACAGACAGACTGACAGTAAAAACTGCAGGGAGCAAAAAAGTGTAATGAGCGTAAAGGTTCGCGGTAACGAAGTGAGAGCGAGAGATGAGAAGGGAGGATCCCCGGCTGTATTTGAAACTATGGGCACAGGGCTCACGCGCTCCCTTCACGATAGGTTTGCTCTACTCGCTTGTGTGTTATTCCATCCCCTTGGGGGAACGGGGGCCAGTGGGAAAAGCGGCTAACGGATGGGGAAAAAATAAGATTACTACACCAATCCTGTGACGGGGCCTGAGGCGGGCGACGCAGAATGGTAATTGGAATGGGGATATTGGCAGCGCAAGCGAAAGTGATTCGCTGATCGCGGTAACTCCTTTATGCTGTCCTGTTTCTGTTTGGTTGGGGCCCTCCAGTTTTCTTGCGACGTTTGACAGTTTGACGGTTTCTTTTCTTTTGCACGCACCCTGTTTGTTCGCCCGCTGGATGGCCATGACAACTCCAGACACGAGGAGATCGTGATCACGCGATAGCCTCGCCGGCGTGCGATGGCGGTTGGCGGCGCTCAGGGCAAGGTGTCTCATCTCCTTGAAGCGCGGAGAAGCTTCTGAGCAGGCCAATCAGAAGCGTCAACCACGTCGCTAGTGGAAGGGTCAAATTTCCACTTTTTAAGCATGGCAGGGGTTCGCGCTGCCGTCTCCAGGGCAGCCCACATGGCCTCAATTCGTGTGCTGCAGGGACGGATGAGGTGCATATCGTGTTCTTCGCAGCCTCGTTCTGTCGCGCGCGTGGCCTGCGCTGCGTCATGAGTGCGCTCACGGACTCAGCGCGGAGGTGTTCCTCTAGGTAATATGTGTATGGAAAATCGCCAATCCCATAGTTCGTTGCGATATGCCAAGGGAGGATTGCCAAACTGAAAACTGACAAGCGACACTGCACATCGCAATTAGTCGCCGGCAATTCGGCACTACTGCCCAGATAGCAGAACACCAAGCGCCGTTTTCCCATCTGCCGTCAAGACATCGTGAACTTGGCCATCATGGTTGATCTGCATAACACATTTCGTTTATAACGGAACACATGTTCTTCTGGTCATACCACCGTCGAATAACGGCTGGCGATTACTTTCACAAGTGCTCATCCACGGCGCAGGACTAGATCTGGTCGAAGCCGACGAGGACCGTTGGTAGTCAGGGTCAAAGATAAAGCGCAGGTCTCGCTATCTCGCCCTATTACGTTACGTACTATCGTTTCACTCACAACGCGATTCACGAACGACTTCTGCAACGATAGTACCTTTCTCGGAAATGCTGATGCATTATAATAGCGTATACAGCTATATCTCAAGAGCTTGGGCGAAGATAATCGAGATCTACGGCACTCATCTACCGACAGAACATTTTAGATGAGGCTGGAACGATGCACATAGCTTCGCAATATCACCGAAGCGCCAATCCATCTTTCCTCAATCCTCCATCTCCCTGGCGCGTGATACTCCAGCGACGGCAGTATGGTTCTGGCCACCGACGGACTGACCGCATTCCGGACAGCGCGCTTGCTGCATGGGCATACCGCATTCTCCAATGGCGAACTGCACTGTGTTAGGTTATGATATTCCAGATCGGAGAGGAGAAACTTACTGGATGGCCGTTCACACACTTGTACCAATGCCCAGAGTGAGTCGCAATACCGCCACGTCCGCTAACCATGGCCTTCTTGATAGACTCCAATTCTTCCTTGGATACTGCCTCGTAGAACTCCTTGCTGAGCATCTTTGATGCGGCGACGACAGCTTGTCGCAAGTTATCCCGTCCACTGAAGGAACTCTCGCAAAGCGTGTCCGCCTTTGACAACAGGTCCTTGGCGGTGTTGCGGTAGCTCATGGCCTTTTCGCGATCGTTGTTCTGACCAGACTGAGCACTACCAAAGAACTGGGCGATTCGAGCGTAGTGCAGTGTAGCCTCGACCGCAAGTTTAGGCAGACTCTCACGTATGCAGTCATCGATGAGCATCTTCGTGTCTTCGAGGAATTGATCCGTCTTGGCGACCGGTGAACCACTGGGAAATTTGAGAGGTAAGGTACTCTGGAAATGCTTCTGATCCACAGTACGCATAATCTCGAAGTTCTCCTCTAGCACCAAGCAGCGTACCTTGATTTCGAGCAGGCCGCCGCCGAGGGTGATGCGTTGATCGCGATCGCGTTTAGCAGACTTTTCGGAAGAGTCGATTGTCAACCTTGCGAGCTCAACATCCAGTGGTTCACTTCGGGCCATACTATGCACGGTCGCCTGGTGCAGCTTGTACGTCGGTTGGTGTCGGATACCCATCCTATACTGGAAGGCCTTGACTGCGTTCAGCAGCTTAACAGTATCTCGTGCACGGTTCCCAATCTCGTCGTTGATGGACTGCATGGTGAACTCGTGAGCTTCCTGACCGCGGAGCTGGACTGGCTTATCAGGAACAACCGACATGCGCGACTTTTCGAGCTCCTTCCTGATTTCCATGAGCTGGCCTTCTAGCTGCTGCAGATCTTGTTGACCGTTGACGATGAAGCGCTTGGACATCTCATCGATGACAGCTCGGTTGATGAGTCGGTTGTACCGCTGTGTGACATACTGCTTGACAGGCTCTCGACAATTCGGGCATTGTGGAATCGACGCGGAAAGCTCGGCGTCCTCAATCAATCCGGTGAAGGCGCCCGTCTTCGCATCAACGCTATACACGTCTTTGAGGCTGACTAGTCCGTCCAAAGTTTCGGTGGTGAAGAAGTGACCGCAACCGAGAACGACGATGGGCGATTCATTCAAATCGACATCAGCATATCGAGACATCATGATCATGTCTGGCTGCTCGTCTGGCTTCATGCCACAATCTTGACAGTAATCGACTGGACATGCTTCACCGCAGATGCTTGGACACTGATGACCGCACGGGAGAAGCTTGGTGCATCGCTCGTCGCATGGTAAGCGGCTACACGGGGCCGAGCAAGGCATGTTGCAATCGCCTTGATGCTCGCAGGACCATGTACAAGGCTCAACGCACGGAGCACAGGGCTCGTGGCACCTCTGTGGACACTTGGTATGTTTGCAACGTACCTAAATGAGATTAGAATGATGTTCAAAGATGTCTAGGGATTACTTACTTCGCAAGCGGCTTGACATAGACCGCAATCCGTACCGTCGTGACATCGGCGATTGCAGTCGTGGTTGCAGGTTCCATGCTTTCTGCCACAGGTCTTCCTGCAAGTAGCGTGCTTCACCACCGGCTGATCGTACATATCCTTGGTATTGCACTGAGCGCAGGTTCCAGGGCATGGATGACCACACGACAGAGGCGTGTTGCAGAGTGTAGGGCACTTGAAGTCTTTCTTGGAGACATCTACCGAGCACTTCAAGACTACATCGTGCTCGCAGCCAGGTACACGCTTCGAGATCTTGACGTCGCAGGGTATGCGAGTAGGATTCTGGGTGAGATGACAGGCGACGCCGTGCTTGACATGACCACACGGAAGCTGTACGTGGTCCATCAAGATCATACATCTCCCACAAGGCTCTCCACATGTAGCCTTCTGGCATGCATGGTCGCATGGCTGATGCCGGCGCTGGCACGGCTGCTCGCAAAGGAAAACCTCATGCATGGCTTCCGAGTGGCATCGGGCCCCACATTGATGGCCGCAGTCGAGGCGATCGACGCACGCTTCCCTACAACCACCTTCAGGACTCAGCTTGTGAAAGTCGTCGGGCTGCTGTACTTGGGCGTCGGTATCAGGGTGTCGAGGGCAACGCAAAGCCAAAGCCTTTCCAACCGATTCAGTCGCACGTAGCATTCCGATGACTTTCTGCCACATCTCGACACTAGAGTAGGTGTCTGCATTGCCTATGAGGTACATACCATGTTGAGCGCGACTCAGCAAGACATTGATTCGGTTTGTCGTCTTGAGAAAGCCAACGTTTTGGCGGTCGTTACTCCGCACAAGAGAGACAATGATGATCTTGGCTTCTTCTCCTTGAAAGTTGTCGACCGTAGCGACTCTCAGTAACTCCGACAATTGCTTTTTCTCCAGCGGCTTCCCTTGATAACTCTCGTGGGCAGGTACTGTGGTCTTCGATGTATCGTCATCCTCTACTGCGAAACCGTCCCTCTCAAGCGCTTCTCGATCGCGATCGCTGAGGCAGATCTCAAAATCGCTACTCATAGCGCCGCGGAGCTTCTGAAGCTGGCCAGTGTATGGAGTCAGGACTGCGATATCATCAGGCTTGTAGACGCCCTGCCGAACGATATGCCGGACCAAAGCATGCACCATCTTGACTTCCCATAAGTTGGACTTGGACTTCGTATCGTGTGTATCTGCACCCTTCTCGTTTTCGAAATTGGTGTGGTCGAGCCAGAAGACGTTGCGGCGCATCCCAACAACATCCGGCAGCTCGATGGTAGACGGATGGTCCTTGAGCTTATCATAGATTGTTTCGCGAATCAGCGAAGAGATTTGCGGGCGCATTCGACGCTGTACATTCAGTTGAGCAACAGGCATCAGAGGCCGCCCGGGCTCACCGATCGAGAGTCGCTCGAACTGACTCCTATCGAGCGCGTGAAGCTTTCCTCGCTCGCTCTCGAGCGACAAGTCGCGGAAGTTGCTGACAGAGGGCCGAAGCTGCTCGTGATCACCAATCTGGATCAGATGCTCAACATCGGGAAGCATCGCCGAGATCATGTGACTCTCCATGACCTCACCGGCTTCTTCACAGATGATCACCTTACACTTCACCTGCTGGAGAACGGAGATACGCTTTGCCAAGCCGGACGTGGTAACCCCAATGACATCAGCCTCTTCTAGTAGTCGTCGGTTCAACTCCTCATGGATGTTGCTCAATTGGCGTTGAGTCTTGGCTGCACTATTGACGATTTCGAAGAGCTCGCCGACCTTATTTCCTTGAGCTTGCGAGACCCAGGAGGCGACAAGTGCGCTCCTCTCAAGCATTGACAGAGAAAACACGCTTGTAGTCGCCTGGCGAATTATTTGCTGTAAGGCGCCCTGAGGTAATAAGGATTGGCCATAGGCCTCAGTACCGGCGATCCATACATCGAATGGATGGCGACCGGCTGTTTTGAAGCCCTCGTCATCGACAGAACGAAACTGATTGTAGATCTTCGGATGTTCCTCTTGAATAAAACCTTTAAGCTTGTGCCAGTCCGGACGTTTCGACAAGCCATGGAGACCACCAAAGAGCATCTTGGCCTCCTTCTCATTCTGATCCAGATCCTTGTAGTTCATTGCCGCCATATACTTCTCGGACTTGGTCTTCGTCTCCGATTCGCCGACGGTGCGCAGATTATGGTTAAGAAGCTTCTTGGACTTGCTCATACCACCGACACGGATGAGCTTGTGAACGCCGATGTCGATTAGGTGTTCGAGAAACTGATCCAAGGCGTGGTTCGTATAGCATACGATGATTATAGGTCCGAGATCGCGGTTCTTCTTAATTTCCAGTAGTATCCGCATGATCTGAAGGCCCAGAAAGCTCTTTCCTGTCCCTGGGGGCCCTTGGATGAAGGCAAACTCTCGTGTCAGCGCAGCAATCAGCGCGCGACACTGCCCACGATCAAGTTGCGTCCTGGCTTCCAGCTTGTTAAGTAGGGCCTGATCGTCACATGATGCTGTCGGCTCGATGGAGAACGAGTCCTCTTTGTCACCTTCTTTCAGGAGAGCGGCGACGGGGAACTTGAAGCCAGAGGCACGCGCGTATAGAGGCGGAGGAATTCTGTGAGTCCTAATTGTCGATATACGGTCATTGCATTTGTCTGGAACGATCCACGGCCGAAACGGTAGACGATTGAGTCGCTGCATGGCTTGTAGACTCTCCAACGTGGGCGAAAAGGTTGCGGGCATGACTTTGGGAAACTCTAGTAGGATGCCGCGGGTTGCTCCGATGTTGGCCTGCATCAGCATCTTTACTGTCGCTCGATCTTGTGTTACCAGGCTAGCCGTCATGTAGGCCAATTGACTGTGGTGTGTCAAGCTGTACTCCTTTGTTGGATCAGTGTCCTTATTTGAGACAGTAAGGAAAATGTGTTGAACGACGTTATCCTGGATCCATATGAAGGACAAAAGCGACCCTTCGTCGAATCGCCTTGACTCCTCCCACCAATTCACCTTTTGGCTAACACTCCTCTTGCGGACTATCGCAGGCTGCAAGAATTCCATCTGAGCTTGCAACCCCATTCGTTTGTCGAGCGTGACGTAGCTGACGCGAGCACTGGTGTACTGATTGGCGCGCATATCGCCTAGGTTGAGATTGGGGTGGAGCAGCATGTTGGAGTCTTGAGATACCGCGTGCATGATTCCAGCCAATGAACCCTTCAGCTCACCGAAGATATCGTGGCGCAACAGGCGGAAGTAAGTATCAATGTGGCGTTGCACGCGATCTTCAAGGAAGTGTGGCTGGTCGGGATCGGTATAGGGCAGGAATTCCTTCGCATCGCTTACGATCTCATCCCGGGTCGGGAAGATTACCATGTCGCCAATATCTTTCTTGTCGTTGTCAAAGCGGTCCGAGGGGACTACGATGTCTCTTGGGTAGAATGATACAGGGTCGCCAGCATAGTTGTCGTCTTCAACCCCGTTGTCACCGGTGGTTTCGGCGAGGAGTCCGTGAGCTCTAGCTACCAGGGCTCGAATATCATCGAGGCGATTGCTTGTCCGTGTTGAGGTATCTGGCGACACCAAGTCCTTGTAGAGGTCGCTCACAGCCTGAATAGAGTCTACCAGCGGTGTGATCTCATCGTTGAACCGGGCTCTGCGCTCACGTCTCAATAGCTCGAAGAGAGCCGTCGCCATGGCGAGAAGCGTCGTTTCGTGGTCCTTGGTAGGTGCCGAAGAAGATGTTCGAGCTGCCACCAGAGCCTTGCAAACCCGCTGGAGATATGAGACTGCAGTCCGCCCACCGACACCACCGAAGAGGTTGTAGATGGAACCGACGTGGGTGTCAACCGCGAGACATCGAAGGAGTGAGGAATTCGTGAGCGTAAGCAGGAAATGGCGGGCGTTGCTGAGGAAGGTGTCGTAGTCCGAGCCGACAACCTTTGAGTTTAGAATGGCGAGAATGTGACGATGACCACTCTCGTCGTCCGAGTCATCGTTGAGATCCTGTGGGAGCTGCTGACGCCAGTCTCGGTCTCCAGCTTCAAGTATACCGTAGGCGCCTTCCCAAAGACGTCGCATGGTGGTTGGATCAGTCTCCGCCTCACCAAGGCGGCGCTTCCATGAGCTGTATGACTTTCGTGCCTCCCTCTGCTCTTCCGTCTCTTTGACTCTGGCAGGCTTCGATGCATGCTGTGAGGTTCCGTCGCGCCTGCCATTATTGAAACCACCACGACCGCGACCGCGATCTCCGCCTCTGCCGCCTCTTCCACCACGGCCGCCCCGTGGGTTACGTCCGCCGCCGCGTCCAGACATCGTGAATTCGTTCAGGTGTTGATCTGAGCGAGATTTGCGAAGATGTGTCGCTGTTGGGGCTGTGTCCGCGACAATTCCTGCTGGGAAGGAGCAATTGTGTATCGTCTGTGCGGACGCTAACCACTAAAAAAGCTGCGTGGTGAGAGGTGAAGGTGAGATATCGACTGTTCTTATCAAAGCGGTGGAACAGCGGGGCACCAGTCAAGGACGAACAAACACGCGTGCATACTGCACCTGCATGCGGGTACCTACATCAGCCAATTCGAGCGTGTCAGTATTCCAGCCTTGCAGCATGCCCAGGCAGACACTGCAAACTGACGCAACGATAATCATGAAAGGAAGGAGCAAGCAAGAATGAGCCGTGAAGAAACCAATCAAAGAGAACGGGAAAGAAACGTGATATCAAATGCATCGATAAACTCCACCGTGATGGTACTGGTATACTCACAAGAACGCCAGCTATGCAACACCTCCCCACACTATCTCTTCCCACGCCCACATTACTTCGTCCCAACATCCGGAAACAGAACCTGCACCATCTCGTCCAGAAGCGTAAAGGCAATATGGGTACTGCATCCTCGTTAGAATCATCCACTCAAGAACCACTCCGTAAACTTACTTCAACCGGGTATTATTGATAGTCCCCTCAATCTTCTTCGCCGCCAACTGCGCATTCTGCCTCCCCACAACACTACTCGCCAACTCCGGGACGAGAGTGCTCAGAACCTCGCTCGCCGCCTTCCTACTGTTCTCTTTGTCTTTGCTGGTACGTTCGACACCGACTTTCATCCTGCCGTTTGGCCACATGCTATCTTTCAGTGTGTCGATGTATTTGACGATGTTGTTCTCTGAAAGCAGATTGTCGAAAGACTCGCGGACTTTGCGCTCAATGGTGCCTCCGAGGAGTTGGTGCAAGACTACGACGACGGCACGGCCTCGGAGCCAGTTGTTCTCGCGGTTTAGTTCGAACGTTTCGAGGAAGATGTCGCAGATTGGTTTTACGAAGGGTTCGAGCTCTTTGTTTTCGAAAGCGAGGAGCTCTGCTTCTGCTTCTGCATCATTGTTGGGTTCGCCCGCGACCAGGACGCCGGAAGAAGACAGGTTGCCCGGTTGGGCGGTCGCGCCGTTTGTGTTGGCAAGCTGGGTGGTCGCGGCTGATATGAGGTTCTGGCCTGCGACGGATAGCTGATCGAGGACGGGTATGTTGCCTAGGAACTCTTCCATACCATCCGCGACTGAGTTGTAGATGCGAGTTACGAAGTCGTTGGAGTTTGGATCCTGGTTTCGCAAGGCATCGGCGGGGCTGATAGCAGCTTGCGAGAGGAAGGCGCGTAGTTCGCGGCTGCGGCATACAGCTGGAATGAGGAGAAGCTCCCTTAAATACTTCTCAAGCCCAAGCCTTCTCTTGTGCAGGAAGTCCTTTTGGAGTTTCAGCATCATCTGCCGGCGCGGGAATTCCAGATTTCGGACTTGCGGAAATTTGGCGCGGAGTCGTTTGTTTAGTTCGTGGAACTCGCTATATCGTCGTGAGACGACCCAAGTAGCGGCAGGCATCTGGTCGCCGGCACGTCGTCGTACTTCGATGACGTACATAGCATACTCCTTGCCGTCTTCCTCTGTGCCGACCATGATCGATTGAATGAACACAGTCGCGCGTCCGTACAAGCTGTTGTCGCTTTCTTGAACGATGTACTGCTGACGCTGTAACTCTTTTCTCTGTATCTCTCGCTGAAGGCTGGCTTTCGATTTTCGCAAGATCCTCAGTTCTGCAGCGTTGTTTGTCAACTCAGCTTTCGATGTAAGCGAGTCGACGATAGACTCTTGGGATACCAGGCGCTCAATATCAGCAGTAAGCGCATCGATAGCCTCGGCGAGACCCAGGTCTCCAGGCGCCGCCTCGTGGATCTCTTCCTCCTCTGCTTTGCTCCTCGGGACTGGGTCATCGATCTCGTCCTCCATAAACCTTTCTTCATCGCCGAACAGATCATCATCAAAGACACCGCGCGTTCTGGGCTCCCCAACTAAGCCAAGAGACGCTATGCTTGGCTTGAGACTGTCTTTGCTTTGCTGCAATTGTGATTGTGGGGCTGGGGACGACGCTCGTGGTAGATCGACGGATCCTCGCATGGAAACACTATCCAGTGGCGATTTCAGACCTGGCTCGTAGAATATTGAACCCTCAGGCTCGTCCATAATGTCGATGATGGCGGCCTGCATAGCATCGACGACCTGCGTGTTGTTGCCATTGGAGCGGTCATGACCAAAGTCTGAGTTGAGGCTTGCGGTCGAGTGTGCGAGAGGGTCTGAGTCGTAGTCCTCGTCGAAGAGAGGTGCGCGTGTAGATGATGACCTATGTACATCCAAAGAACGCCGTGCAGGTGGCTCGGCGTTTTTGACGGTTCCTTGGCTCTTGAGGTCTGATGACGATGCGACAGCTCGACGCAAGTCTCCTTGTGGTATCTGCAATGCGCTCTTCTGCCTTGACTGGGTGCGAATCATAGCAGGTGGAGCCGCAGACGAATTGTCGAGTGTTTGCGCCACAGTCCTCGTATTTACACTGCTGTTCTGAGCGTTCGCCGCCTCGTCCATGGCCAACCACTTGTAATACAAGTTGGACTTCTTGAACCTTCGGAAGTAGGGTTCCTGTAATTGTTCGTACGCCGCCGTCTGAGCTTGGAGCAAAGAACGTCGCGCATTATGATACTGCTGCGGAGTCGCCTTCCGCCCGGCTTTGAGAAACTCAGAGACCGCTTGTCGAGCTTCGGGGAGTATCTTCAACTCCGGGTTCGACAAATATCCGTCGTAGATCTGCGCCAGGTCTGCACGGTCAGACTCTGTCCATGCAGGAAGAGAGCCTATATAGTCCGGCGCTTCTTCAGTCTCTACTTCCAGTGGATTGCGAAAACCGTCCACCACGATCCAAAACTGCACCAGCCGCATCAGGTCCGCCTGGTCCATGAACTCCATGAAGCAAGACAGTCCTGAGGCATCGTACAGCACTTCGCGCAGAGACGCATTTGCGAACTTGGACGAAGTACGCTTGTGCTTCGGCTTCTCCTGCGCAGCAACCTTTGCCCGCACCGAGCCACCGGCACTGAGGTTGGTGACCTTTGTATCCAAAATTTGTCGCGCTGTTTCCAGGCGCCGCAGATAGACAGGGTCTTGATCTTCTACCGTGGAATCCTTCCGCAATTGACTTGACACTTCGCTGCGAAATCGTCTAGCATCTGCAAGAGTGTTGGTCTGCCTAATGGCGCGTATGAAACGTTCGAACCGTCGTTCGTTATCGCCGGGCGCAAGCTTCGGAAACTGGACGTTCTTGGGGTTCTTCGGTGAGGGCGGAGCATGTTCATCGAGAGCAGCTCGAATCTTGCGGACGGTTTTCCTTTCCTGTATTAACGATCGTCCCTGGGCTTATTAGCGACGGTCTACAACGAGCTGGTAAATTCTTACGTAGCCCTCCATAAGCTGGTTCCATGTGTCTGGGTCAGCGAGCATCTGCATCACAGGAGAGAGGACTGCGCAGGCCACAAGCTCTTTGATCAGTACATTGACGGCGGGACTGGTTGACATGTTCGCAGGCATAATCTTTGGCAGTAGTCGCGTGACGATGCTTCGTAGATGTTGCTGCTGTATAGGCTTGGTATTCGAGTATGCCAACGACGCCGCCGGGTGCAACCGGCCCTCCTTGTATTTGGCTGCGATGGCCAGATCAAGCTCCTCAGAATCTGTGATGTTCCGCGACAGCTTGCGTCCGCGGACTATGCGCTCTGCCTCGTACGATGCCCGCAAGTGATCGGTGATAAGGGGTATCATGCGCGACACGACTGTCTCGACCATATCTACCGCCAGTATACGTTCCCGGATCTCGCCCATTGCAGCCCGTATCGCATTGTCAACCTCGTTGACGAAGGTTGGGCTTTTGCTGATACTGCCGTACCAGCTCTTCACGAAGTCGCGCAGTATCAGCCCAATGAGCACGTCGATGCTGTCTGATATCATGAAGGACGCAGGGTATAGCGGCTCCATCATGTACATATTCCTCATGTCCAAAGCCTCCCGCTCAGCCTTCCACCTGCCCGGCGCAACGAAGGCGACATGGCGCGGCCCATAGTCGACCTTTCCCCCGCTTCGTAGGTCTGTGTCCCAGGCGATCGTGAAGGTGAGCCATGCTAGCAGGGCGAGCGTCGCGAGTACTCCGGCGAAGAAGGCGTAGGGCAGGTAGTGCAGCTTGGGCTGCCAATGGGTCAGGTACCCCCAGGCGACGAAGACGGCGATAGCGGCGAAGACCAGATCTCTGCGCTTCACGGGGGCCATAATCGTGCGGGTGGCGCCCGTTTCTGCATCTTGAGCGGGATGGCTGAGGGTGCGGGAGGCTTGGTGTTCTTTGGACAACCCACTTTCGAGCTTAGACCACTGCTGACGTCGACCCGCGTATGTCGTATTCAGCGAGTATAGCAGCGTCAGTATCTAGCTTTCCGCAATGTCTTCGTCAACTCAGCAAGTCTAGGATATGACAAGCACCGAATGACGCTTTTGTACTACGCTAGGTTTCTGAGCGCTATCAAGGTCCGTGAAAATGACTGCGCTCCTCGTCTTGGTATAACCTCCTATGCAGATAATGCCATGATCCCAATAGTTTACATTCATGACGCCGTTCCAACTCCGATACTATGCACAAGCTTTCTCGTCTGCCCCAACCACATTCATCTAGAATTTCCGTCGTCCAAGTGTCGGCTTCCAGTCGAGCGGGTGTGTCTCTTCCGTGGCATTCTCATCCTGCTTCCAAATCTTGATAGACTTGTCCGACTCTCCAGTAATGAGACGCAGGCCAGTTTTGTCGAATGTGGAGCACATTACACCTGCCTCAGCTTCAAGAGAACCCGGCTGTGCGATACTTTCGCCATGCTGGAACCGATGGCCTGTCTTCCAGTCGTAGAAAGAGGCTTCGCCGTTGTCGCTACCGGCAAACATGATGTTGTCCTCGTTTACGGAGAGTGTGTTGATGATGCTGTTGACCGGCGAGAAATTCTGCATGAAGTCGCCGTTCGGGCACAGCCATTGTTTCGCCGATTGCGCCGATCCAGATGCAAATGTGAATTCAGTAGGATGTGTTGCAAGAGAGCGAACAGACTTCTTGTGATGTGTGAGAACCGTACGCGTCTTTCCAGCGACCAGGTCCCAGAGTCGTATTGTGCTGTCCATGCTTCCAGACAAGACTTGGGGCTCGGCTTCTTGACATTGGATCGAGGAAATGGTTCCCTTGTGGCCTCCGAGAACATGGATGTTGCTGCGCGAGCGCATATCCCAAACGCGGACCACACCATCTCGTCCTCCGGTGCAGAGCACATCCACAGTCGGGTGAAGCGAAAGCGAGTAGACTCCGCTCAAGTGGCCGTGGTAATGTCGAATGACTTTGTTAGTCTCGAGATCCCAGCATTTGACCATCTTGTCTTCTCCGCAAGAGAAGAGATACGGATGCCTTGGGCTCACCGCAAGTCCTCTGACTGCCGAGATGTGTCCTGTCAAGGTGATCTTTAGTTGACCGCTGGCCAGATCCCAAAGCTTGATCGTCCTGTCTGCGGCACCGGTCGCGAACCACTGGTTTCCAGGCTCCATAGCCACCGATCGCACCTAAAGATAGTCAGCCGCTGTCGCTCTCTTGTATAATACTATCGTATAACTTACCCATCCCATATGTCCGCTAATGACGGTCTTGACCTTCCATGGCGCATGCCAGTCGGGCTTCGCTTGACGAACCACGTCCTTCCTGACCAACGCGCTCGACGTTTGGTCTCTACTTGGTGTAGGCCCATGAGCGTTTGGTGCAGCACCCTTGCCTCCTGCTCTCACTGCCAACTGCATCGACTGCGCGTCACGCGCCTTGTCCGCCTTTTCTGAGACACCATCAATCATCTTCTGCATCTTAGGGTCCGAGGCCTTCTCTTCGGCGTTCTGTGCCTTGATCTTCTTGCGTCGCTCCGCCGCTGTAGATGCTGCGCTGGCCATCTTCGCAGCTAGCGCGGGTGGTAGCTCGCGCACATGTTCATATTCGTTGCGAATGCGCGATGCGACGCTGGCCTGGTCTGCGGCAGCTGAGGGCGCTGGTGTGGTTGGGTGTATCGAGAAGCTGCCGTTTGAAGCGTGATCTAGCGCCGCTGATGACGCAAAATCGGCGGCGAATATCTCGCGTGTCCGCTTCGAAGAAGATCGAATGAGCTGTTCCGCTGTACTGAGAGGTCGCGAAGCTGCGGTTTCGGCCATGTTGGCGACGTGGTGTGAAGCAGGGGAGAAGTACTGCATCGATATTAGCTGCGGCTGTTCGCGACCAAGGCGACAGTGATAGGAGAAACTCACGTGTTGACGTATGTGGTGATACTGAAGGCTAACCGCTGGTCGTCGACTCTCCATCGCGAAGTTTCACTAGCGCGCCTCGTGAGCTAAGCCGAGCTAAAGCCGAGCACAATCTTATCTGATCATCTCCTCCGCCCAAGCATTCCCTCACCACGACGCATCCAGAGCACACCTTGCTACCTTATTAAGCGTTGCTTAGCTCGTCAAGTCAGTAATCGCACTCTTTACAAAGTCCTTACGACTTTCTAATCCCCATCTCCCATCTCGCGGAGATCGTCAGAACGGATGCTACTTGGGCGGTTTGTTGTGGTTGGGCGGCTCCTCCTAGGACACGACTTTGGAGCTCGGAATACTACAGCAACGTATCATTCATACGAAGGCAGAATGCACGGTTGTTGGACCTATCTCTAACCTGAATATGTGTCATGGCCCTAGACTTCTCCACGCCGACCATTAACAACGTCTGGCTTCAAGCAGCACCGTATCCTTTGGTACCAGACGTCCATTGATGAGACTATCATATCTTACTCCTGGTGACTCTCTATGACAGCCATATAATTTTGGCCCTCAAACTGCTCCCACGAGTCGACTAAAACGTTGCATACACATAGCAGTATACCCACGCGAAGTATCCACCCCGAGCTATCTACAAAAAGCTTTATCGAACTCGAGCGCGAAAGCTGAACGAAGTCGACAAGATATGATACCACTGTTGCTTTCGACTAAAGCGTACCCCATCTTCCCGAGATCTGGGTAGAGCATCTCAACAGCCTTCGGAGCTAAGAATCCAGGCTTCGAGTAAATGATAGTGGTCTACGGCGATTGGATGTAGGGTCCAATGCACAGATTCCAAGCGGAGGAGCCGACTGGTCTTACTCCGCAGCAGAGAACCCAGGACGCAATGCTGGGAGCTCAATGGGGTTACATGACCGGTGATTTGTACGTAAGAGCCCTCATCTGGTTATTCACATGGGTACCAACTTCGGATCGTCCAATACTCGTCGTGGCTAGACGATCCAATGCCCAACGCTCGCGTGCACACATCAAAATGTGCGGCACATGCAGGGGATACGAGTGAGCCTCTCCTTCGTACACCATGGCACTGTAATATTGCGCCGCAAAGCTCGCATGTCAGATACTGTCAGCACCGCGCACATGTTTTCTGCATCGCGACCACGTTTATGACTGCCCAAAACTGTCGCGAACCTGTGGATACGGAAAACCCAGCGGTCACGGCGACGATGCTTGTTTCCCCAGATCTTCCGGGTTCTCCGCTTCATAGCTCCAGGATTGCGCAAAAGCAGCTGAACGGCGCGCGGTCAAGCACATGCTGCCGAGGAAGTTGAATGGAGAGCCAGACCGAGTCGTCAGATCCTTCCAGAGGAGGAAAGCCACCTCCGCACGAAATGACGCAGGAACGGTTAAACCCTTGCACTCCAACAACAAGGTCGTATTGGCGGCACACCCACCACAAAGTAACTCAAGAGAAAGTGCCCTGTGCCTAGAGTTGCGTATTTCGTGTCTTCAGAATAGGAGTACACAAGCATATCTCTTACAGCCGCCTAGACACACGAATGCAGGTACAACAAGGCCGCCAGTCTTACGCCATGCCACCGTCTTTTTGCCGGGAATTTCGCAGACAGCGGTGGACGTTCGGATGGCGCATCCGTTCGGCGGGTTAGCCATGTTCCTGCGCGACCGAGCTTAGCCAAAGGGTGTAAGCATGGATTATCCCGGATGTTTGGCCGAGAATGGTCGAGATGTCGCGGGGTTTGTAACACTGGATCCTGCGCCATATATCGATTTCTGTGTCGCATTTACGCTTGCCGCCATCCAATGGCCACCCAGTCGGACTGGAGGAGAAAACTTTGACGATTGAGGATCTGCGCAAAGCGACGATGCACATGGTGGTTGGTTTTGCCTCGTTGCGCGACTTCACAGCCTCAGGGCTGCCCCGGATCTTCTCGCTTCGCACTAGTCCCGGAAGCGATTAGATGGGAACGGCCGCACCGTCACTGGCCTCATGAGACCCAATCAGCAAAAGCTTCTAGTCTCTACGGCATGGTTCTTGGCGCCTTGATCAATTCGATCCCTGTTCTATGCTGGAGCTCGCCGTCGCCCAACACCAATGCGCACCAATGATGTCCAATCGACGATCGGATGGCTTCTTACTCGGTTCAATAGCACTACAAGCTCCTCGCAATTTCTACATGACACTCATGAAGATGTAGAGAAAGTTACGCGGTACCATCTCCTTTCTTTGACTCTTCATGATTCACGACCATTCGCTGGCAAGGCGCGCCGCGCCTAGTTGTGTGGCAATAGACTCTACCCTCCCAAGTCCGGCCTCGACGAGCCGCAGCTAGCGATGCGTAGTCTGGGGTAGCGTCATCACGCGCTACCACATCGAGCAATACCTCCAGGGGCTGCTTGAAGATCTCGAACGGGGGCGAACAACACGCCCAGTGTGGAGCCACTTGGGTGCTAGCTTGTTTCTCACCTGGACACGGGTGGCCTACGGTTCCGCTTGATATAAAGAGCTTATGGGAGCCTCCTGTTCGGTTTCCTGCAAGCTTCAACTGTCGTTATACATACATCAAAGAACTTTCACTACACCGATCACCGTATCAACACCAAGACAACCGTCAAAATGAAGACCTTCACCATCGCTGCCTTCGCCGCTCTGGCCTCCGTTGGCTCTGCCCAGCTCAGCAACATCCCCTCTTGCGCCGTATGTTATTTCATGATAACCTTTGCACTCATCACAAACTAACGCCTTTTAGCTTCAATGCTTCCTCGCTCCTCTCCAGAGCGACGGCTGCTCCTCCCTCACCGACTTCGAGTGCCACTGCAAGAAGGGTGCTGAGCTTCTCGGCAAGGTCCAGCCTTGCGTCCAGGGTGCCTGTGAGCAGGAGGACCAGGCCAAGGCCATCTCCGCCGTCCAGGACACCTGCAAGGCTGCCGGTGTTCCCATCAACATCCCCGGCGCCAGCGCTGCTCCCTCCATGGCCAGCTCTGCTGTTGCCAGCGCCACATCCGCTGCCGCCTCCATGGCATCTTCTGCCGCCGCCTCTGCCTCCTCCATGGCTTCCTCCGTCATGTCTGAGGCCTCCGCTGTCGAGTCTGCCGCTTCCTCCATGGCCTCCGAGATGTCCTCCGCCATGATGACCGGCACCCCCACTGCCAGCGAGAGCATGATGAGCATGACCCCCTCTGCCTCCATGTCCGAGTTCACCGGTGCCGCTGCCCAGGCTACCCAGGCTGTTGGTATCCTCGGTGCTGCCGCCCTTGCCATGCTCGCTTTGTAGATACCCTCAAGCCCTTAGTGGCCAGCATGAACGGATTGACTGGTTAGTCATGGTCAGGATGTAATGGAATCACGTTGGGATGGATGGATCGAATCTTGTATTACCACCTAAAACCGATAATGCGATACCTAATATTTCGAACTTGATCCCTTTCTCTCACATCGTTCTACTGTGTCACTTTCTAAAATTGATGCACTTTCCACCTCGTTACATCGCTGCTCATTTCCAATACTTCTAACGCGTCAGAATCTCCCGGTGGCTGTTTGCATTCGGTCGCACCGAAGCTGAAAAGTTGCCCAGTGACGTCAGAGTAAGCACCATCGTGTCGCCGAAATGAGAACACAAGGGTTACCATGCCTTCGTTTGGATTGAAGCTACCCGCGCTTCTAGTATAACAGACGCTACGCATGTGTAATGCACTCTTTTTATGCAAATTGTCACGATGCCCTTTTACCGATTCACCGCAGTGGAAGCGACGGGGGCGCTCTCGTACTGCTATTCTCTTGCGTAATTACCGTAGACGGCCCTTACTCTTAGCTCGGCTCTGGCAGACGTTGTTGTGTCGTTTGCCGATTCAATTGAACACGCTTGGTTTTGTTGATAAATGTCACAATCGATCTCATGTACGTCAAGAGAGCTTGGAGACTAGACGGACGCTGCTGAAAATCCGGTATCTGCCCAGTTGTTGGGAAATATAGTTGTTGCTAGACAAAGTTGCTCTGAGGCTCTTCCCATTGCGAAGCTGTGACAGGTAGCTAGCCACTTACTTAGGTATTTCGTGCAAGGTATACTGCTGAATGAGAACAAGCCTCTCAACATCTAGGCAACTGTTCGACGATACCCAGCTGCGTCATCTCACCGATGACCAAACACTCAGCTTGAGTGACAACTCGATCAGAAGCGCAATGCATGACAATAGAACTCTCGTTCCAAGATTTGCGCTTACCCCTTCAAGAAATACATGATCCTGAAAAAGGGAAACTACCCCAGCTGAAGTCTAGATCGCGTGCATGCTGCAGGCGCAACGTTAGTAAGCGTTGTAAAGATGACTACTCGCTGCAGCAGACAAGGCAACCACACAAAATTAATTCGTGACGTCAATTCCGGCGTACGTAGATAGCTAAAAGGGCGCTGTCGTGCTTTGAGATGCAAGTGAGGGGTCACATCACGTAGAGAGCGGACGAGCGTAGTTGCAACATCGCTAACTTCAAATCCGCAACCCTTTCTAAACATTCATCATGGCTTCAGAACCCGAACCATACACGATATCAGTCCCCGATTCCGCAATCGAAAAGCTCAAACGAAAGCTCTCAGATACCGACTTCCCAGATGAGCTCGACACACCCGATCAATGGCCCTACGGCTCACCCCTCTCCGACATCAAGCGACTAGCAAAACACTGGGAAACTAACTTCTCATGGCGAGACGCCGAATCCAAAATGAACGAGCTGCCAAACTATCGCAAAAAAGTCCAAGTCGACGGGTTCGGGCAGATCGACATACACTTCGTCTACAAGAGAAGCTCCAACCCCAACGCCATACCCCTCCTCTTCAGCCACGGCTGGCCAGGCTCCTTCCTCGAAGTCACAAAATTACTACCGCTTCTTGAAGCTGGCGAGAAAGCAGGGAAACCCGCATTCCACGTCGTCGCGCCGTCTTTGCCGAACTTTGGGTTTAGTCAGAGGATCAGCAAGCCTGGATTTGCGTTGTCGCAATACGCGGAGACGTGCCATCGGTTGATGCAAGACCTTGGGTACGAGAAATACGTTACGCAGGGTGGTGATTGGGGTTTTTGGATTACGAGATCGATGGGGTTGCTGTATCCTGACTATGTTCTCGCAAGTCACATCAACATGGTGCGCGCGCAAGCACCGACGTTCACATCGCAGCCTGCACTTGCTCTACAGCACGCCATTACTCCTTACACAGAAGTCGAGAGTAAAGGAATTGAGCGCTCAGAATGGTTTCTCAACGAAGGTCAGGCGTATCGCCAGCTACAATCTACGAAACCACAAACACTCTCCTACGCATTCGCTGATAGTCCCGTGGCGCTGTTGGCATGGATCTACGAGAAGCTGATCGACTGGACGGACGGTTATCCTTGGACCGACGATGAGGTGCTTACTTGGGTTAGTGTGTACTGGTTCAGCACTGCAGGGCCCAATGCGCATGTGAGGATCTACTATGAAGCACAACATAATCCTACGGATCTGATTCCGAATCGAGAGCGCACGACGACGTGGATTGATCGGGTGAAGTTGGGGGTTGCGCACTTTCCTAAGGAGATTACTGTTGTGCCGAGGGTATGGGCGAAGACTTTGGGTGAGTTATCCTCGTGACGATGAGGTTGTGGCCTTTACTGACTCGTCTGCCACTAGGTCCTCTCGTTCACGAGAGTGTTCACGATAAGGGTGGGCATTTCGCTGCGCATGAAAGGCCGGATGTGATCGTTGCTGATTTACAGAAGATGTTTGGCAAGGACGGGCCGTGTTACGGCATAGTTCCAGGAAAGTCGGGTTATTGATATGAGTTCATGGATTTGAACAATTTCGATGAATGATATGATGAAGAACTATTATATGTAATGTCATTATTTAACAGGTGCCGGCTTTATTAGCTCAGCCGTCGAGTCTCGAGCGCCTTCGCACGAGAAGTCGAACGCGGCCATGTGCGCGTCTGTTGGCTTTTCGGCCGTGTATCGCGTGATGGCTTTGGCTTCCTCGCGACTTCGTAATGGGGAGAGAACTCGTCCCGGTACCGGATCGATATCATCTTCAGATACCAATGTCGATCGCGACAAGTCCTTCTCTGCCGCCGAAGCGGAAGAATTGAATGTAAGCCAGTGGATTATAAGAGCATCCCAGCAAACGTCCACCAAACAGATCGCAAGGCATATCATGCCCAGCTCTTCGCCCCTGGTAAGGAAGAATTGCACCATGTTCGCCGCCGTTGGTATCTCTATCAAGAGCGACCCAATGATACTCTTCCACAGCAGTGTCTTGATATTCTTCCTAGCTGGCGTATCCTGTCCTCCATGCACTGTATCATCATGCTGACTCGACTTCCTCTTGAAGATCCTGGAAAGAGTTGATGCACCAGGCAGCCCTACGACCGGATAAAGTAGGTAAAAGAAGACCACAGTCAGAATGATATTCGTAAAGAAGTTGACCACGGTGAACGGTATCGATGCGATGCCGCGAATGCCAAAGTGGCAGCGTCCGTCCGATTCGTGCAACTCGGTGACGTGGTTGAGATAGGAGTTAATGGCGACAGTACCGTACAACACGACAATCATGGCCATGCAACATAAGTATATCTTGTCTTTGCGCCTATTAACGAAAGGCGCGCGGACGACATGGATGCGTTCGACCAAGAAGATATAGCTACCATATGTTAGCAAATGGCGGAGCTTCTTCGATGCACACTTACATGATAGCTTTGATCAACGTGTAGAAGATCAAGCAAACCCATGTACCCGCAACGCAGAGCTCGTAGGTATAGAGCCCCTGGCCTGCCACAAGAACGGCTGAGCAGATGATGAACATCAAGACCAGTACGTATAGCATGAAGACAAGCGCAGACATGAGGCGATGCTTTCTCAAGATGCGGCGTTTGAGTTTCTCGAACCGTGAACCTATGGTCTGTGTCAGAAAGTGAACGCGCGACTGGTCCAAACTTGATGGCGTGATACATGTTGCAAAGGCCATCGTCTGCCTTGAAATTGATTGGGTGCGGAAGAAGAACTTACCCAATAACAGCGAGCACACCATCATGCACAACAGTGATATGATCGTGAAGATCGACCTATCCCGTGGAAGTTCGCCATTGTCGATGAAAACGTTCGAGTTCCGAAAATCCTCTTGCCGCACCTGTAGGGGGAGGGCTTGAGCAGCAAACGTCTGCATCAAGAAAAGACAGGCGAACAGCCTCATTCTTGACAGAAGTTCGGAACCGATATCGAAACGAGTCGTACGCGTTCGCAGAAAGAAAGACGTGATCAATAATCATTCGATTGGGGATCCTTGAGTCCTTAACTGGACCCTTTTCGCAACCTGACATCTGTCTTGGTCCCACAAAATGACGCTCCATTATTTTCTTCTTGCGTAAATCATATGGTCAAGCCTATGATCGACCGGGAGTTGCTAGGGACTGTGGCGCTGAGGGCGATCGTTTTGCTTGACTTCCAATGTTGCGTGAGGCTGATTGGGTTTACGCTAGTCATGCGGAGATGGGCCCGGCTGGCCGATGCGGCCTCGAACGCGAGATTCCCGGTGAGAAATCCACGTGCGTGCCGCTGCTCCCGTTCCTAGCAGCTGTTGGATGCGTTTTTTCTCAAATATCTCCGTCAGGGACAGGGTCGGTATTAGAGGCCGGTGTGCATTTTGCTTTTTCTACCTGACAGGTGTCATGGCTCGCTGATTCTTACCATATGTCGCGATGTCTCAACCATGCATACTTCACCCATTCGTACCCCACGTTGTCGAGCGGAAAATCCTGTTGGCTTCCCCTGGCGAGGATCCTAGTCCAACGTCTAACTGGATCTCATCCCTTTGGAGCCAATATTGCCGTATCGGGATTGCGACAATCCGCCGAACGCCATTGCGCCATTCTCTTGCTTTGCTGAAAGATCCTGATCTTGATCTCCGAGGATGAATTTTGCCGATGTTGCAACGGCCTGTTCTTCGCTCACGGGCAACATCTCGTTCCATTCCAGAAACAACCATAGCCAGGATAGAGCACATTCGATGTGCCCTGAGGTAGGTGAAGATGTGCTCAGCAGGACCTTGCACGTCTCCTGTCTTCTCCAAAGAGACAGCTGGTGAAGCTGGATAGTACACAGCCCTCAGATCTGGCAGGGGTCGCAGGGATGCTGAATCATAGTAGTCTGAACGAGTGGCTCCGAGGAATGAGCTGAGCAGATTGACTTCGGAAACTCACGAACAACTGTGGGGACTCTCGTAAACTTTGCGTACACTTTTCGCACGTTCGTACCCCACGCC